TTTTACAATATAAATTATATGGGAGAGTGCACAGGATTTTCTTTTAAAAATGCCTTGGAAGCAAGGAGCTGGTTTCCTTCAGTAAATTTTACTTTGATACTGTAACGGAATGGTTCATTACAGCAAAAAGCAGGGCTGAGAATCCTCACCCTAAAATTATTCATGACTGTGGAAAATTTCTTGTTTCAGAAAGAGAATCCTTGTCTGGACAAAGCAGAACAGTTGTCCTGTATAAAACTGGGCCTGTCACAGATGCTTATTAGAGGCTAGGGAAAAGCTGTTCTCAGAGCTTGTGTTGGCACAAAAATAGGGTAGTTTTTTTACTTCTGCATTAGCTGTCCCGAGATACAGGAGAGAGAAAATGCAGAAGGCTTCTTGGTTAAGCACAGGTGTAGGGGAAATGGTCTGTAATTTTCACACCAAAACAAACTTTTCTGTTAGCCATCCATTTGGTTGTTACCCAAGGTACTATCTCCTTCATATTCAAGGAAGTTACTCTTATGATGGTTCATGGCTCATGCTAGGCCAAACAGCTTTGTTAGTGATAATCCCTTCCCTTTGATTTCTCAGTGCTTTGAGTAATAAACACTAATCCTGCCAGGCAGTTTGAGGTGATTCTCCAAGTGAACACATTAACTCAGCAAACAAAAGGGTTAGGCTTGCTCTTGAGGGGGCAATACCAGAGGGACTCCTGAGAATTAACAGCATTTAGATATAATAAATGTGCTGCTGACAAGTAAAAATCAACATTGAGGATGAGGCTTGAAGTCAGAGGATGCACATTATTGATTCAAACTCTCTCCCTTTTCTTGCTGTGATTCTAATCTGATTTCCCAGCCCCCTTTTTCAGTAAGCCTAGTTGGTTCTCCCAGCATTGATTTTCAGTGCATTGCAGGTTATAGTGACTTTTGAGCAAACTCTCTCTGCTGAGGAGGAGGCTGTCTGGGCCCATGAGAGGTGCATTGTGTGTGGTGTGCAAGGCCTGGGTTCAGATTTGGCAGTCTCTCAAGGAGCCAAGTAGCAAAGTGCTGGGTTGTGAAGAAGTAGCTACAAATGGAAGAAGAAGGCTGGAAGAAGCAAGGTTGGTGGATACTGCAGGTATCAAATCAGGCTTACCAAACCTTGACAACCTCTTTCTGCTTGTAGCTCTAAGTTAGCTGGGGATGAAAGGGCACATTTTAATGTGTGGGTCTTGGCTGTTTCTAGATAGCTTTATTCTTAACTAAAACTTAAATACTGTCTCACACTTGGGGTTGATTTCACATTCCCTAAAGATATTCAAAGTTATTTGCCTTGAGAAATATCAGAAAGAAGATCTTATATCACCTTTTCTAGACAGAAGCAGTAGAAGACCTTCTACTTTGTTTCTGAAATGATTGTGCAGAGCTAGGGCAGCTCCATGGAAAAAGGATTACAATCTGTGAGGATTCCTTTGTTGTAGCATAAGCAGTTAATTAGAATTACTATTATTTTCATTAAGAAAAAGGTCTCTCTTGATTTCATGCTTATGAACTATTAAGCATAGTTAATATTGACAACAGTGTATGTAGTCTGTCAAGGAAAAAAGGAAGAAGAGATATTCAGAATAAAATGCACTACTTAGTTCATAGATATCACAGACTACTGACATTAGAAATATCACAATTCATTTCAGTGAATCCAGTTTCTCAGTAACCGTCTGCCTTGTGATAAGGGGGGAGTAGGAGTCATCAACAAAGTTACAACAGGAGTCCTCAAACCAGACTGGTTATTGCAATGTCTTGATACAGTTGACCCATGTGTTATTTTCTTTTGAGCATATAAACAAGCAAGCAGGAGCCTTCTTAAGCTGAATTGTTCTTAAGATTGCAGGTGATGTGAAGATGAAGTCAAGACTGAGTGAAGTCCTAAAAAATGTCTAGTCTTAATTTGCATCAATCAGAATGAATTTAATATATAGGTTTCTGTGTACATTAACCTAGGCTTGAGTTTTCCATGATTCAGAGGGTTACAGTGTTGCTATTTCACTACTGAGTTAAACCCGTGCCGTGGAGACGGATGTTCCTGGGTGGTGAAACAAAAGTTTGCTTCTGTTGTTAATTTGAGTGCAGTTCTTTGAAGCCTGCTGAGCCAGTGCCTAATTAAACTGCACACACGCTCCAAACAAATGAAAAAGTAATGCTGTTCCTCACAGATAACATTTAAGGTGACGATTTCTTCTCAACTGAAATCTGCTTGGGGAAATCAATTCACTGCTGAAGCAGAAACTCTTTCCGTAATACTTCATTATGTGAAGGCATTACTATAGCCCATGCAGTATAGGAGAGCTTGTGCTGTTTGGAGATCTCGACTGTATCTAGTCAGAGCCATGGGACAAGCACAGTTTCAGTCTCATTTCTTTAATTTGAAGCCAGAGCTATATTCCTTGTCTGCAGTAACATTATTCTGAGAGTGATGATTGGTTGTGCTACACATAGAGCAGAAATCTCTTATGAAATGTTTGAATGCTGTAGACTAGTGATTAGTTTGGAATTGAAAATTCCTGAAGTGTTCCTTCCTGACTCCTCTAAGTACATCAGCTGTATTCATTTGTTCTGTTTTCACATTAAGCCACACACCTTGTGCCTTGGTTTCTCATGGCAGTTACCTACCAGGAAAGCTGTTCAAGTTCAGTTTTGTATTTTAAAATGTGCAGTAAAGTAATTTGGATATACTTTGAGGCAAAAAGAGAGAGGGCAAGGGAAACGAGCTGTGTGATGTTTCTAATGACCAGTGCTAGACACTATTTTTTAAAGATTTCTGTTCCTCTTATGATGTTAATAATTCTTTTTTTCTCCACACCTAAAGCACCTGTGGAGGTGGCTTTCTGTGTATGAAAAGAAGCTGAGGTTACAAAAAATTCTTGGTGTCTCACAAGGATGATCACAATAGTTTTATGATCAATAAGGATACGTCCTTGTATTGATGGGCAGTTTCAGCAACATCAGCAGAACTCCTCAGAGACAGGCAGGATATCTCTGCACTGAGCTCCAGCTCCTTTGCAGTGTAAAAACCTTAAAAATAGCAAGTAGGAAGCAGGTCACCTAGCACAGCTCCTAGCAGAGCAGAAAGAAAAGGAATTTAAAATAAACATAGAGGGAGAATTAAAAATACAAAATAAAATGTCTATTTGGGACTAGAGGGAGTGGGAGGGGAGCACTTATCTCAAGAAATCTTCAACATTTCTGTGACTTCCTTATTCCATTGTGGTATCTGCTCAAGAGCTGCTGATGAGAAAATAAAACCAGTCTATTGTTCTTAATTGGTGTTGCTTAGGCCACTCACCTGAAACAATAGATACCTTTGTTCTGATCTCTACTCCGGAATGGAAATCTGAGTTTGCTGCCTAATGTGTGTTGATAATAATTGACCATCCTGGAATAAAAAAGACTCATCCATTTTCTTTGGACTCAATTGGAAAAAAAATTGTCATATCAGGGCTTTTTATTGGAAAGCTTTGGCTTTCAAGAAGTCAACTAAAAATAATAATAAAAAAGTCCTGAGTGACTTCTGGGGTTTATTTTTTTCCCTCAGATTTGTTACTCTGTCACTATAATGACCAGTCAGCACCATGTGAATTATAGCACTTAATTTTATTTTAATTTAAGAGTGTTATATTATTTTTTAATAATATTTTTAGATATCTGCTAATTTTGTGTGCACTTTCAGGTGCAGAAGGCCATAACAGTACCATGTGTGAATACTTTGAGGGAATAATTCTTCTGCCTTTATTCTGAGATAATTTTTGGTATACTGATCTCTGAGTGACCCGAAACATTTACTGAATCAAAACAATTAACCAGAGCATTAATTACATTATGATCTGTTTCTCTTGAAGTCAGACCAGAAGAGCTTCTATGGAGCTAAAATTTTTAACAGAACTAAAGTAAGAAGAGTAACTACATGCCAATGGGAGGAAAGGAAGGCTCCTGCTTAGAATAATGGATTGTTAATGTAGTGATGTATGGCAAAAGAGATGACTTACTTAGTACAAAAAAAAATCTCATAGATTGTTACCTTTGTTCAAAACTTCAGTTAAAGAAAAGCATGTAGGAGTCACTGTCACTTCCTGAGTCGTGCCTTAGATCAGAAACATTTGCAGGAGCCATCTGTTTTGTGGAAGTCAAGTATGCAGCATGGATAAGTCTGAGGTATGACTCATGGGAATGATATAGAAAATGGGTCAGTCTTTCTGAGGTCTGAATAGCTGACTTCATTGTGAGATTGTTAAAAGTTTAGCGAAAATTAATTTCTGGAAAAGGCTTGGGAGAAGAGAAGTGAGGATAGATGTGCATTATAAATTGGCAAATTGTTTTTATTTTTCTTTGTTGTGTTCCTCTCGTGTGGGGGCTTGTATAGGTTAATTTGGTGAACTTCACTGAATAAAATTATGTTTGAAGAACCATGGTGATTGGGTAAACAAAGTCTTTGATCCTTTTGCCTTTAGGAGAGAGACCTGAAACAGATCCATTCGCCTTCATTGTCACACTTACGTTGTTTTAACTTCTATTAAAAAACTCCAAAAAAATCTTACGAATTACCTAATTTATCAATAAAGAAAACACTACAGTGTCAACATCAAGTTGGCATTAGGAAAAAGGTATCCATTTTTCTTAGCATTCTCAAACTATCTCATCTTTTCTCCTCATCTGATGGCACCTTCTAGTTAAGTAAAACTGAAAATCAACATGTTTATCTGAATGCAGGTCTCTGGTGTTATTTTTTTATTGGTACTATGTTCCTTCCCTATTTTTTTTGCCTAAGTAGAACCAGGGCGTAATACCAGATTTATATTTCAAAGCATAAAGCTATTTATAGGATGTGGAGGTATTGACTGTATGTTTCTTTCCAAACCTATATACAACAGAAATTGATTTTTCATTTTGTAATGAGTACATCTTAGGCCTTCAACACAGAATAAACAGAGGAAGAGTAAGAAAGAGACCACAACTATAAACTGATCTTTGTTCTCTGAACTGCAGGTAATGGAACATTGATTGGAGCATCTGCAAATGTTGTTTGTGCTGGAATTGCTGAACAGCATGGTTATGGCTTCTCTTTCATGGAATTCTTCAGGTACATTTTTAAACTTCTCACATCCAATCTGGTTTTGTTGTTTTTTTATTCTCTCTTGGCAAACAATGAATCTTCTAAGGAAAACAATCTAGAGAAAGGGTCTGTAAAAGATACTTGTGTTCCTGATTTGGTTTTGGCAACTGAAATGCAGATGGCAGACAAATCACTTTATTTTTGTACAATGTTGATAGAATGCATGAAGCTCATGGGAGCACAGTGGAACTCCAGGAGAAACAAAGCCTTCAAAATTCCTGCTTTGATCACCCTCAATCATCATCGTTGTAGAAATTGTAAATTATTGCTTTATTGTAAAATGCAGTTTAAACCTAGTTTCTCATCTTCACATATTCATGGATGTTCTATCATTGGAGAAACTGGAATGTCCTAATTTAGACTGAGTTGATTTTTATTCCATGATCCCACAAGTAAACTATTTACTTAAAAGTAGTTACTTCTTTTGACCAGCTTCTTAGCAACTATGAATGAAATTGTGATGAGCATCCAGGCTGGCTCAACTCAAGTTGTTGCCTAATAATTGTTTAATTAATAATTAATAGATTTTTTAATAGTGGAGTTTTCTTTGCAGGTAATTAATCAGCAGGTTTTTAAGGGACAAGGTGTACTTAGTGCATACAAAAATTTAATATTTTTCCAAATACTTCCCATTTTTGAGACTGTGGTTTGAAAGATGTAAATGGAAACTGGTAAATTAGGACAAAACACAAAGTTCAAGTTCCTTGCTTCTTTTTTCTGCATATTTAGGGCAAAGGATACTGTTAAGCTCATGCCAATTTGTTTTTTCTCTTTACTTTGTTTAAATTGTTTATTATAGTGTGTCAGCTCCATCAGCTTTTTTCTAAACTGTTTACCTCAAAGCCCTCAAACCCGTGTTATTAATATGATTAATCAACCAAGTCTTGGTTGTCAGGATCTTTGAGACTGCAGAACAGTTTTATGACTACATAGCAATAGCTAACAGATTTCCTGGAAATCAAGCCCTTGCACAAAAAAAAGGTAATGCAGCAATAATTGGCTGGTGGATTGCGCTGTTCATGTTTCACAAATTTTAACCTTGGCATTTGGAGATTTAACTTGTATGTAGCATTAACAGTGTGTCTTCTATGTAGATTTTGTATTGAAATGCTCTTAAAACTTCTATGAGACTGACTGAGAAAACAAAGATGTAAAGCCTGGCTAATCTCTTCAGCAGTGTTTACTGGAATGCATCCTTTGGTACTGACGACAGCAGACAGATGCTCTGACATTGCCTTCTATACATATGCTTTTGGTGGAACTGATTACTGGGAAAGACTGTAGCCACCTTGAACAAAGATGTGAGAACAGAATGCATAGTGGTCTCAGAGAGATAGCAATGGATATTTATTAGCAGAAAGAACATAAAAGCTCACTTTTCTGGCTGCCTTTTAATCACTGAACAGGCAGACCATGAGCTTCTTCACAATTTGCGTTAGGAAAATACTCATTTCAGTCAAATGTTCACAAGTTGAATATATTTTAAGGCTTCTCCTGGCATCAAGAGGTGTTTTGTATATCCCTTGAAGATTTTGATTTTACTTACTTTTATTTGAAGGTTGCGTCAAAGTATAAAGTGAATTTTCTGCATTTCTTCCCTGTTAGCCCAAGATTACTCAATAGGTTTCACATCCCCATTGAGAGGTCCTCTGCAGTGCTTCTCCCAGTAGACACACAGATTTTTACCCTCTCATCTTGCAAACCCTTTGGAGTCAGCAGAGAAAAATCATGGATACCTTGTGTGGGGAGATGATGATCCTCTGCTGGCTGACTTTTGTTAAGATGTCTTTTATCAGCCTGAGCTGGTGTTGTTCTGCCCTTCCCAAGTGTCTCTGCACAGGAAACCCATGCCATGTCTGTCTCAAGTGGTGTCACACAGCAGAGCACTCTACTTCCAATACACTTCCTTCCTAGCTGCCTGCATGCTAAGCCAAATCATGCAGACATGTTTAGGGGAGGCCTTTGCTAGCAGCAGCTTTTTTGAAAACCCCATTTTGACACAGTGTTGTGTAAGAGGAGTTTCAGAGTGGGTTGATAAGCTTGTCTGGTGAGTTCACCTTGATACAACAGAGGGCGAGATTCTACGGAAGCTGTGGGTTCTTCATGCCCATGCCATGTGGGTTCCACAATGCCTCTCTGTGCAGGGAGAGAAAAAGGCAAGAAGCAGGTTCCTTGCTCTGTAAGAGGGTTTGTGGGCTCATGACCCTTTCCTCTGTGTGTCTTTGCACAGTGGCACTTGGTGTGGGTCGAGGTTTCTCTTCTCTTTTTAAGAAGGTAGCAGAGACAACCTGGCAGATGTGTTGTGCAATGCTATTCTGCTGCCCAGCCAGAGCCAGAGGTGGCCAGGCGTGATAACTTGTCTAGAGTGCTGAGGTCTTACCAGTTTGATGTGCTTCTCTCTGGAGTGCCTTCCTCAGAAGAAATCCCATGCTGGGGAGTTCTGTGTGTCTGTCAGAACAGCAACTAATTGCTTCTTTCCCTGGATCAAGAGTCCTACTGCCTCAAGGACCTGGTCCTCCACAGATGGATGTAAGGGGAGACAGGTCTGGCGTCCCGTTCTCACCATCCAAGCCACTCAGGCCCATGTGCTGGAAGTGTTGTGCCTGTAAGGTGGTTCCAGTAGGACGGCACTTAGGTGGGAAAGATTATACTGAGAAAGAAGAGGGAACGGAATAAGGTTCCCTCTCTGTGCTGAAGCACCATAAAGCAGCCTGGTGTTCAGAGTACACTGCTGGTTGAGGAGATACCAGGTCATATCCATGCATGCCTGGCTGTGAATGTGCTGGCAAGTGTCACCAAATATCTCACCCAGAACGCATCCTGATCTTGTTCCCTTCTCTGACATTACCCATCAACACATGCACCATTTCTGTCTGAACAGTGCTCACAAGGGAAAGAGCAAGATTGCCTGTGAGAAAAGATCATTTGGCTGTCATGAATTCTGCTTCTGTTTTCAGACCCTGTGAGGTTTTTTGATTATTCATTATGTTCCACTGCAATAAAAAGATTCACAAATCATTTAGCATATACAATATTGTAGTAAGTTTAATTTATCACCATGAATTTTTTTTTTTATACTTGAATCTGTTAGACATGTTGGTAAAGAAAAAGAGAAAAAGAGAAAAAGAGAAAGGATATCCTACTGGTACATCAGCATCAAAAGGAAGAATAGGGCTTATATGAGACTCATTGAATGGGGAAAGGACCTGCTGACAAGGGATGTGGAAAAGGCAGTCGTTCCCAGTGTGATCAGCTGCACAAAAGCCTGCTGGAGACCAGTCACTAATGCTGTTCCCCAGGCTTCTTATTTGTCCCAGTAGTGCCTTCCAAGCTCAGCCACTTAGGGATTCAGCTTTTAACCAGCCCCACAAATCTGAAGGCAAATAGTGAGTGACTGCCACTGGATGATTCATTTGGAATAACTCAAATTCAAAAGGAAAGAAAGCAATGTTATGACGAAAACAAAATTGAAATTCATAAGAAGAGCAAGTTCTGAATAATAATTTCCTTAAAGATGCTCTTGCATTTTTGGAATCAGTACAGCCAAATTATGCTATTGTTCCATTTTGAAAACTTCCTCATCAAACTGTATTTATGTGTTCAATCTTTCCTCATGAAAGAAATATGTTAGATATACCTATGTGAAATAAAACTAATCTAATTAAAGTAATATTAATTATAATATTAATATTCCCTTCCTATAATATTTCCTTATTCTTCTAGTAATTTAGAGTTGTACATAATAGAGCTGAACATGATATTCCAGTCACAGTCCTCCTATTTTTTTCACATGTAAAAAAGACAAGATTTAATTCAGAATGTGGAGCTACTTGCCTTTTCTTTGTTAATCTAGGCAATATCAAATTCCTGTTCAATTTGCTATTCAGTGTAAATCCAAGTCTCTTTCAGTTTTCATGTTACTTACATGAGTGTGATTATATCTATTCTCCCCTCAAATTCATATACTTTTCCTACATCTTGGACACAAAGACAAGTAATTAAGTGATAGAAATAGAAAAAATTGTGAGTCCATGGGGCTTGGAAAAGAAGATAGAGAGCAGTGGAATATTTGCTGTGTATGGTCAAGAGTAAACATTAGAACAAGCAAATATCAGAGCAAACAAATGATCATTATGTCTCTAGTCAGAAGTGTAACTATTTTCATAGTCTTGACCTGCAGAAAACATCAGATATGTTAATAATATGAAGGTAATTGCTCAGAGACAGCATTTATGAGTAAGCAGAAGGCAGGGAAAGATAATATTCCTATTATGATTTTAGTCTAGTTATCAAAGAATTATTACACCTAAATAAGAGCTTAACATAAAGGAAAACCCCAGATCTAGGAGAGTACTTTTCTCTTGGCAAATGGTCAGATAAAGACATTGTAGTCTTGTTGCTCGGATGAATTCTAGAGGTTAATACAATGATTTTATATAAATTCAGACTGTAAAATAATCAACAGAGGCTTATTTTTTCTCAAGGTTTTCTCAATTTTTTCTCTTTATTTTTTCTCAATGATAAATAACATTGCAGATGTCTCTTCTAATCTAGATGCTTCATTTCATAGAAGTTTTTAAGATTTTTACTAATATATGTATGAGTTTGTTGCAATATAGCATTCTACTAGGTCAGACCACCCTGTGGAACATGAAAATGATGCACCAAAATATTTTGTTGCAAATTAAAGATTTGATTCCACCTCCATAACATAAGACGTTCTCATTGCTGTAAGGCTTTAATAACCTTTTTTTTTTAACTTGCTAATAGAATTTACAACTTGACTTTCATTTTCTCTGCAAGATAAGCATTTATAACCTCATAAAGATACATAGCATTTCAAATATAAACTAGCTTATGTTCCTTCATCCTATTGTAATTCATTATTAATCGCCCCTCTGTGTCCATGATGTGTGATATCAATAGAAAAAATTAATCACAGATAAATGATGAACATATTTGACAAA